CTTCCTTCCTTCCTTCCTTCCTTCCTTCCTTCCTTCCTTCCTTCCTTTCATTATTTATTTTTCTTTCAGTTTGAGCCATAGCTCTTACAGAAGGCATGGTGTTAGTACAAAGATATGACCATTGCCCATGTGACCTGTTATTTTAGACAAGAATCGTCATCTCATCCCTGGATGAAGAAAAGAGTCACTTAAAATCTAGGAGAGTCAAGACTGTCTCTTTTGTTCTCAGAAAAACATTGTCTTAAGTGTCAAGAGTAAATACCTGCCTCCCAGAATCACTTCTTCAGGTCTGCCCAGCTTTTTCAGGCATACAGTCTCAAGTTTAGGAATGCCAAGAAATCCATGCATGATTTCCAATTCTGTACACAAAATACATGTTTCTTAACAATCCAATTGTCTGTTGCATACCTTGATCTGTCTATTTCCTTTCTGCAGTGACTAAAGCATTCTTGTTGACAATGTACCTTCCCCTGAATACAGGCAATGAGTCAATTAGATGTTATATGGCTTTCAAGGTTAATTGTTAATACTTAGGAAGTTTGATGTATATAATAGCAATTCACATGCAAGAATTGAGTACATGGAGAAGGTTAAAGCATAGACAGCACAGAGAGTATCCAGAGTACATCTGCACAGAGACTATAGTCTTTTACCAAAGGTTTCTTGAGCATAAGGCAAGTAAACAGTAGCAGTCTTTTATCCGGATATGTCTTAAAATTTAAAGAACAAAAAGTACCATTAATCTCATGAAAATGGAACATTCACCAGTAAAAGAAAAATAATTAGGAAAATAAATAACTATGCTCTTTTGCAGTATACAAGTGAGAAAATGAAGATGATGTGGAAGATGGGGAGATTAATACTGGTTGGATTTTGATGAAAAATACAGTTACAAGCTTTACAAGCAGGTAAATTGTTGTATATGTTCACATGGTAATGAAGATATTTTTGGACCATTTTCCTCTTGATCTCAGAAGAAATCATGCTACAAATATGTTTCTTCAACACTAAGGTCTTTTCCAGCATGAGAACAACTCTACTTCCTCAGGAAGTAGAACACTTATCTTCTCAAGAGGCTAATTGCCAGCAAATCCATGTTTCTTCTAAAGTATAATACATTAAGCATCAAGTGTGGGAAACCAGTTCTTCCACAGTTCTGGCAGCAAGAAAGCCATCTCCCCAGCAA